TCATGAGAGCCAAGGAGTAGTCCCTACTATTCCTACGTGATTACATTAATGGCCTCCACATGACCCGAGTTCTCCACTGCCGTAGCCAGAACAACCTCCGAGAAAGGTTATTGATGTGTCTCCTTTTCGAAATTTTATTGACCTTAAATGTTGCTTCTTACGTCCTTCAACTGTATCGACTTGTAGGGCAAATTCTTGGAAAAAGGGACCAAGTGCATTCGCCATTGCAATATCTGATGTAGTATAACAGATTTATCAGAAAATGCGTGACGTTTATTACCAATTCTCCACGCTTTGCCAGTAGACCCAAGTTTTCCGGTGCAAAATCAACAGCTGTTGAAGTAATCTGACCAAGCAAACCTTAGAACTGAGGTGGAAAAAGTTCTGGCGCACAAAGAAAAATATAGCTGAACGCCACGCCGCGCCTTTTTGAGAAGTTGTAAGTTTTCAAAAAATTCCCAGAAGAAGTTGGGAAAGGAGAAAGTGAGCAGTTTCGAGGAGCGAACGTGTTGAGTTTTCTTTCCTCTTTCCACCAGGGGAGGATACGAAAAAACGAAAGAGTTCCTCACAATGTCTGTTTCATTTCTGATAAATAAAATCGTAGTTAATTTCCTGCTTACATAGTAAGATAGTTATTGTGAATCAATCGCCTTCTTTTTAGTACAAATACGGCCTGCTGTTTGCAGTGGGACTTCCACGCTCTCGTAAAGTCCAAGAAAAACTTCTCCTTGAGAGTCAGCTTTACGGAGACATCGTTCAAACGGATTTTGAAGGATTTCAGCGTCACAATCAAAGTGAGTGGGAGTTTCATATTTCCTCTTATGGTCACCGATTGAATGGCATGAAACATGAGGAAACTGTAAACTGCTATCTGCAGAAAGCGATCGACAATTCGGGCAACCAATCCGCCGTTGGTCATGATACATATTTATATGTGCATCGCAATTCATATATTTGTCGATTTAGATAATTGAAACCCCATCGAAGAGTCTTACAAAAACTCAATTCACGAGGTGTTTTCGAGAGATGCTCTATGGAGAAAACGCATTAGATGCGAAAGTGAGCTCGAACGTCTGCAGGGATCTTCAAGCTTGTGAGAAGTACTTTGTTCTGTTTTCCTCGAGACAGCACAGGATGACTAAGCAAAAAAATATACGTCTAACTTTTTCTACCTTCATTGTAATCATTGTTCACTGTAATCGACAACTCGCAACTTACCAAGTGTTTTTTAGTTAGATTCATACACGATATTTAAGCTCGGTATGTTGGAAAGAGTAATTGTCGCCAAAGAAAAGCAGGGATAGCGGATGTTCTCGAGAGATTTGAACCGAAACAGCCTAACAAAAGGTCATATTATTCCTCGCGTTATTGAAATCAAAAAGTCGAAATTTACGTGTTAGTCATTAGATGATGCGAGAGAAGCCTTCTATTCGTCAGCCGTTCGGTGCAGAAAGGGAAAATTTTTCAAATATCAGCGGTTTGGCTTTGGTCAAGTAGGCTTGAGTCCATACTGTGATGAAAAATGTTTGTTTCACTGTTGTTGAAAAGAAACGTGTTTGTTAAAAGTCGTGAGCCGAATCCAATATCCGGATCGAGCTGGGTATTACTGGATGTTTCACGCTAGAAGGTTTTGTCCGCATTTTAAATTGTTCGAGAGCCACTGACCTCTCTTGTACATCAGGCCTTAGGCGATGTAACTGAGCTTGAAAAAAAACAAACGATATAGGATGATCAATCAGAAACGAAAGGGTTATTAAAAAGTTCAGGTTGGGTTATCACTCCCCTACGATAGTAAAATACCGCTTATTCGAAAAAAAGCAGGAATCGATTCTGTTTCCATAGATTATTCGGAATCATTCCTGTTCCCATAGTATTCCCAAGTCGTTCATGTGTTAAATCGCATTGATCCGGAAGGCTTAAAAGCATCTTGCAAGCGGGCTAAGCGCTTCAAGTGGAATTATTCTTGAGCGCATAGTTTTATTTGGAGTTTTGACGCCCCCTCCAAGCAGTGTATTCGTTTTCTCCGTACTGTTTCATTGATGTCCACTATGTTTGCTCGCCAGCAAACATCAATAATGAATAACATTAATAAGATCTAATTGTTCTGTGATCTGCAATTAGTTGGGCGACTAAGTTTACTTCATCGCTAGTGATATGAGTAGGAATTAAATGTGTTCATTCCCTCCCAGGGTCAGATATGAACAGTGTATCATAGGAACGAAAAGCATGACAGTTTTGCTGGGATTTTACTCACGATGCCATTCAATCACTCGTTGTAACTTGCTATCACCAACGTATTCATAACTTTGTCTAACACATCATTTTTTGGAACCAACACCCCACTGCTGCAGCGGCGCTACGAATTGAGGACATGCTGCCACGTTTGTGACAAGCAGACGGAGCTCATATACCCCACAGAAATATTATTGGGTGAGAAAATAAGTTCCTTTGGCAAAGAGACTTATTTAAACCAAAACAATACTTATAACAATAAATTAATCAAATATGTATTCTCCGTCATTGTTTACGACCTCCTCCCACCTCTCGACCAATTTGTTGATGCCGTTCCGCCAAAAATCGCCAGGTCTAGTGTCGAAGAAGTTGTTGAGCCAGTTTTGAGGTCCTCTTCGTCTTCGAAGGTAACACCCCTCATTTGGTTTGACATGGAGCGGAAAAGGTGATAGTCGGTTGGCGCAAGGTCCGGAGAGTACGGTGGATGCTGAAGAACCTCCATTCGAGCGCTTTGACTTGTGCAACATGCAGCCTGGCGTTGTCGTGGAGTAAAATGACTTGACCTTGTCGATCGGGTCCTTTCATTCGAATTGATTCATTTACACGGTGCAGCTGGCAATAGAGGCCTTGTTGACTGTGGCGTTTCGTTCGAGCAATTCTCAGCGCACTATACCTTCCCAGTCCACCAAACGCAGATCATTCTCTTTTTTGGGTGGAGATCCTGCTTGACTCTAGGCTTCGGCGTGTCTCCTGGTGGCACCCACTCCTTTCTTTGCTTCATATTGACGTACAGACACCATTTCTCATCCCCCGTCACGATTCGGTACAAAAAGCGCTGTTTATGACCGCGTGTTGCTCGATGGCGGGCGAGGTGTTGAGCAGCGATTTGAAGACGATTTTCTTTGTTGATTTCGCTAAGCTCGTGAGGCACCCAGGCTCCGAGTTTTTGGGCAAATCCCATTGAATGAAGATGATTGAGGATCGTCTTATGATCGCAGTTCATTTTGGCACGTCTCCCTTCGAGAGCTCCTTTCCTCGTCGAATTCTGCAGGTCGTCCGCTGCGAGGCGTGTCGTCGAGGTCAAAGTCGCCGTTTTTGAACTTTGCAAACCATTTTTGTGCTGCGCGCTCGCCTATGACACCTTCTCCGTACACGTTGCATATATCACGAGCGGCTTCAGCTGCTTTTTGACCGCGATGAAAAGCGAAGAAAAGTAGGTGTCGAAAATGCTGATTTTGCCTCTTAGGTATGGGTATGGGCCATTTCTGAGCCTGAAAGAAATAAAATTATGTTAATTAAGGGGTTTTTGACCTCCCGAACATGTCATTTGGTTATGAGCAAAGCTATCGGTAAAAGATTTCGTGTGCTTATTGCCTGTTTACTGTTTCTTTTCAAAATGAAACAACATTTACTATTGATTGCGGGTATTACTGATCAGTAGAGTGCTCTCCGCTGCATTTTCACTTCAACGTCTTCGGAATGTCAATATCGCTGTGCAGCCATCATTTGAGCAATGAATTCTAAATACCGCATTGGATATTCCTGGAATCCCATCCGTTCTTAGAACCCCTACGATGGCATACACATGAGATACCTGCGCTCTTCCATATGCATAACCCGTGCCCTGTACTGAGTGAGCTCTTGAACTTCCCTCTCCTATTTAGGTTTAATGGTGGACGGGCGGGTGTATATCCAATGCGATATTTTCGGGATCCTTTTGCAGCTTCAAATTCAATCGAATTGACTGCAGCTACAAAGTAACGAAAACACTTCCAAAATGGAACAGGTAAGGCTGCGTATACCGTGCGACGTCGTCGTTAACGTCGAAGTAACCGACGTTTTCGGCGACTAGAGATTATATATGTATCGATCCGACGTAACGGACGAAACCGACGAAAGCTGCGTAACCGACGACTACTTCACGAAGATTAGATACCTATCGATCCGACGAAACCGACGTTTTCGACGAAAGCGACGAAACCGACAATTGCGTAACCGACGTGAACGACGTAATCGACACAGGTATCTCGTCTTCTGTCGTCGTCACGTCGATTACGTCGACAGGTGGATCGATACGTATCTAGTCTCTAGTCGTCGAAAACGTCGATTACGCAGCTTTCGTCGGTTTCGACGGTTACGTCGACGCTGACGACGCCGTCGCACGGTATGAATGCAGCCTGAGGCAGAGGGGACGACCGAAAATTTATGACGATGATAGTGCACGCCAGCGGAGCCGACGACCGACTGCGAGAAAGTGAAGAAGAGAGGTCGACGCGTTCAGAAGCCGACTCTCTTCACCAGCGGCTACGCCGTCTCACTGAAGATGCTCAAGAAAGAAATAACAGGCTACGTACAAATGCTCAGCGCCAGGGTATGAGGCGGGCTTCGCGAGCGATGAACAACGAAGGAATAGTCGTCTAGAGAACGCTCAACGACAGTCTCTAAGGCGAAGTTTAGAAAATACTGAGGAAGGTACTGCGAGACGAAACGAGAACGCTGAACTCAGCGACGCAGGCGGGAGTCAGAGAACATCGAACAGCGCGCTAATCGACAGAGAGAATATCTTCAACGACATCGCCGTAGGCGCGATTCGGAGAACGTCGCAGAACAATCTGCTCGGCTCACATAAAACGCTGAACGCCAACGACGAAGGCGGGCATCTGAAAACGCCGAAGAACGAGCAGCACGACAGTAGCTAAATGCTCAGCGGCAAAGTGTCAGGCGTGGCACCGAAAGTGTAGAAGAAAGAATTACCAGGTTACAGGCAGATGTTCTCCGTCACCAGCACCATCGCATCCGCGAAAACAATCTGGGAACGTCAAACAAGATTGGAGTCCAATGCTGCAGGTAACCGCCGGTGACGCATGGAACCTGTTGAGCTTACAGGGACAGCTTTGCGCTCACGAAGGATCGAGGTTCACTACTTAGGAGCTTCAGATCGGACATGTACACATTGTGGCGCTCGGCACTTCTTGTGAGGTTAAGCGTAATCATCCTGGCACATTTTTAGAATGCTGTGATGGGCAGAATCCGTTTGAATTTGTTTGAAAATTTCCCAGACCGCCTCCGTGAACTTTTCATTCAAAAGTATGTCATCTGTGGAGCACCGTCGAGTACAAAAAATTTCTTTAAAATCATTGGAAACTTCAACTCAGCGCTAGCCATGGCTTCAATGGGAGCGCAAGTAGATTTGCTTCAAGGACGCGGCCCGTACTGTTACAGGATTCATGGCCAAATATACCATCGCATGGGGCCTCTTCATCCCAACGATGGAGAACAGGTCAGTACGCCAGATATGCTTCCTCGATACAGAACTGGCGGCTCAGCAACGTCTTGGAAACGCGAGAATTACCGACTGTGATTCAGGACTGATGCGCTTCCTCAGTGAGTTACTGCCGAACATCGCCGTTTACGCCCAGTCCTCCAAAATGATGAGTGAGGTGGAGCAAGCCGAGCTTGCGGCAGCAGCGCTAAAGAGGCGATCTATCTTGGAGAAGACAACGATGTTCCACCGAAAAGGAGTTTATCCGTACATCTGAGGAACACATCCGGAGAGTTGACAAGATATGCGATCCTCTCACGTACCCTCTTTTGTTTCCAACTGGAAAAGGCGGATGGTAGCCGAGTATCTGCAACAATGAAGGCGAATGAAGGTCGCATTACACAAAAGGACTACTATTCGTATTTGTGCTCAATACGTGATAGTTTCAATCCTATTTTGCATGCTGGAAAGCTTTTCCAGCAGTTTGCTGTTGATGCCTATGTTAAGATAGAGCAGAACCGGCTCAACTTTCAGAGGAGAAATCAGCTTACGTTGCGAGCTGACTCATATAGAGGTCTGCAAGAGTCCCTTGCCGGTGAGGATAATTCCGGCCCACCAGGTAACCGAGTGATTCTGTCGTCATCTCATCTCGGCAGCCCACGGTCAATGCAACAGTCATATCAGGATGCAATGGCAATAGTTGCACGTTATGGAAAACCTACCTATTTCTTGACTATGACCTGCAACCCTCAATGGAAAGAGATACAAGAGAACCTTTTTGATGGTAAGACCTTCTCATAAAATTCGACTGCCACGTGAACCTATAGATATGCGGCATGATTTTAGCTGTGAAATATCTTTACAAATACACATATGAAATTCCGGAATTCCTCCAAATTCAATTAGTCCATCACTCATTATTTAAAGGTGCAGCATACTCGAGAAACAGATATAAAGATTCTTTCATTTTTTCTTATACACTTTTATCCCTTGAACTATTAGACTTTGATAGAAAAAAGCTTTGAATATCACATGAATGCTACTCATTTTGAATGTCTCACATATCCTGAGACAAGCAGGATTGCCCCGTTCACGCTCGCCTTCTCAAAGCTTCAAATACGTTGGTATGACAGGATTGCTCGACGCTGTCCCAGCTTTCCGAATGAATGAAATAACAAACTCCGATAACACGGGTTGGCCCGGCAAAGCCGGGCCGTGTCAAAAGAAGGAGGAGAGCTCGGCGTCAGCCAGGCGATCCGACTGGTAGATGGACAAAACGTATTTGCGAAAAATTATCGCTTTGTTTCTGGTATTCAACTGATATGCAGGCTTGATGGTGGCTTTAGTGCCTTGCAAATGCATACCAAAAAGTTCTGGCAACTTTTCTTCTTTGGTAGTATAAAAATACCATTTACGCTAGTAAGTAAGCAAACCTGAACGACTGGGATCCTTCATCAAATCAGTAGCGTAACAGTATACAACAAAGTCACAACATGTGTTCAAAATTGCCTCCTTCGGCCTCAATACATTTGCTCAGTCGCTTTTCGAAGTGTCCGACAATGGTCGCGCATTCTTCTACTGTAATTTCGTCCCAAGCACGCAGCAACGCTGCTTTCAGGTGGTCCACCGTCGCGCATCGGATTCCTGAGATTTTTGCCCCAAATGGAGTAATCCATCGGGTTTGAACCAAGAGAGTTAAGGGGCCAGACATCTTTGCCCCGGAATCCCGGCAACAGCTCTTCACAAACGGCAGTCTTGGGTTTGTCAAGATGTGCTGTAGCCCAGTCTTCTGGAGAAATCCATCCCAACCGAAGTGCTGCGACACCCATGGCTTCGGTACATCGCGTTGTTGGTAGTTGACAGCATTGATCTTTAAAGGCAGTTGGCACGATAAATCGTTATACAGGTGTAGGATTTGTACAACTGGCTTAACAGAATTCCGTGACCTCGGACAGGCGCTGCGTGAAGCCTTTTCCAAGGAGGGTACCCTATAACGCCCTATTGAGCAACAACTTTACGTCCCAAACGCCTTCCTTGCCCGCCCGCCCACAAACGGACGACCGTTTCTGACGCTCGTATTCATTCATTTGCTGAGCAAATTATAAAGCAAAGGGATTGGTATGAAGCGGCGGTGATGCTGCATGCATATATGGGTACACATATGCAGCCGTATCTTCGTAGCGGTGATTGGCAAGATGCGTACGGGAAACTCGTCCGAAATCGATTTACAAGTCACTGAGAACGGAGGCTTTTTCTTCGCCGGATTTTGACCGTTTCACTCCGTTCTTTCGCCATTTCCCCACTATACAGCGCCCTACTAGCATTTTAGGCTAAGTAGGAAACCATCGTGCCAACTGCCTTTAAGCGTTGGATGAAGAAGAGGCGTCTTTCCGGTGACAGATCCCGCCCCAGACCATGACTGAGGCTGGAAAGAGTCTCCGTCCGACGGATTTCGCTGCCACTGCTTGCTGACCTTTTCTGAGAAGCAACCCCGCGCTTCTGCGTTCCACGCCGCTCCGGTGTGACGCCAACATAATAAAGAAGGATCTGGTAAAAAGACGGCAAACGTAACGACTGAATCTTTCTTCTAACAGAGGGAGGCCTTCCATCGTACGACCCCGTTAAAAAGACCTCGCCACAACAATTGCTTTGCAGTTTTGTAATAGCTGCTTCCCCCATTGCATCCCCTATCACTGTGAACGTGCGGAGATACACACAAAATTAGCAATTCATATAATACAGTGCATTTGTCTTGTGGTCAAACGCACTTACATTTCCTCAAGATAATTAATGGATTGATAGGGTGTCCTTGAAATTTTCCAGGTACTCAGTGCAATTCGACTGGTAGTCTCTTATTGTGGACAAACGAACGCTATCATAAAGATTGACGATGACGCTGCCTGGAATATTGTACGGACGAAGAATCTTGTGCTGCATCATTTGAAGCATAATGAAATTTATGGACAAGTGTAAGCACTGTCCCTGACTGCAAAGAATGGGATGCTACTGTATTTTTCTTGCATTTCAGAGACCCTCACCCGAAGCCACATAGAATAGGCTCATGGTGAGCTATTTGCGTGTTATATATTGCTTGCTATCTATTTCTTGATTGTGTTATACTTCTGATTTGCGTCTCTTCACCGAAAGACATGGTGTCAAAAAATGGTTTCGACGAACCATAGCTCTTCATGCTGCATCTAATTCCTCTTCCCCAGCACTCTTGAAATGATTAGACTTCTACAGCATGTTGGAGTGTTACGATCCTACAATTGATAGGTTATGATCCACTGTTCATTTCACAGCTACACTTGTCGAAAATCACATTTCTCATCTCATTGACGATATATCGTCCATTTTATGTATTTCTAGGAAGGTCACAAAGGAAGAGTGGAGTCGAAATGACTATCCGCTGTTTTGTCGTGGAATGGCTTACGTGATCCCACGTCGGGCAGCAGAAACAATTCTATCAGTTGTCCCTTCCCAACGATTCCTCAAGGTAGCTTTCTTCACCATTATTCACATGGAAATCAGGCAGCCGGTTTGAATTCACCTGTGAAAGGCTGGTCTCTGTGTTCATTTCCCAGAAAATTTTACTAGGGCACGACACACATGCAATTGAATTTGGCACAGTCTTTGCTCTATAATGCTGTGTTGTAAACGAATGAAAAAAAAGTAAAGAAATATAATTGCTCGATGAAGCAATGCAGATGACAGCAGAAAATAGTTGTGCTAGATCCAACGAAATGAATGTTTCAGCCTGTCGGCGAGTTGCTGTTTTTGCGGTTTTGTTCACTGTAGTCATGGAAGCGCTTTTGTAAAGTAAATTATAAGAAAAAGAGCAAAGTAAAACGTTTTGTTGGTTGTCAAATACAGAGAGCAAACCATTGTGACACAACGACTTCGTCGCTCTTCTAATTAACACTGGGCTCCAGCAGGTACGAGAGATCTCTTCAATTACCCATGCAACTCGCTAGAGCTGTGTAGTTTGTCCTCAGCATCTGTTCGGAGAAGCGTTCTATATCTTGTAGAATCCGACCGGAGTGCTCTGCTGCAGCGGTGATCCTCCAATAGGGCAACATTTCTCGTTTACCCGATTTTCGAAACTGTGAAAGCGGCTGCGTCTTTGGTTGTCGACGGGATCCGGAGCTTCGCGTCTCCTTTATTCGCAATTAAGACCTCCACTGCCCTTCCATGGCACACGACCTGACCGATCCCATGTTCGTTCTGCTATATAAATTCTGGTCTCCAAGCTATTAGGTTGTCTCAAAAACTTTCAAAATTTTTTTCCAGTCAAGTTTGTTCCAGCGAGAAGCTATTTTGGTCATTAATGTATACCATAATCACTTTGAATTCACCCTTTTCAAACCAAATTCACCCTTTTTCAAACCAAATTCACCCTTTTTCAAACCAAATTCACCCCTTTTCAAACCAAATTCACCCTCACTTTTCACATCAAATTAACCACACTTATAAGGGCGGGCATCATCAAGCAGATCACGCCAGACATCACTGCGAGCCCCGCCCCGACGGCCACGCCCACTTGTCAGCGCGGACATAGATTCTCTTCGAAGAAGCCCCGCCCACTTTTCAAAAATGGTGCAGATCGGCAGTATAGAGACTTGGCTTGCATGCTAGGGTCTCGTTTGTCACTCGGAACAAGAAAATCCGGCAAGTGAAAAAATATCGAAAGTCCGCGAAAAGCAAGTGGGCGTGGTCAGCCTAGATTGCCAAACCCTTTAGAAAATGGGCGGAGTCGGCCATGTGTCAATGCCCGGTCGTTTCCAGTCAAAGTGTTTGTGGGAAACAGCAAAAGCAGAAGTTATGAAACAAGATTTGAGAATCTATGTCCGCGCTGACAAGTGGGCGTGGCCGTCGGGGCGGGCTCGCAGTGATGTCTGGCGTGATCTGGTTGATGATGCCCGCCCTATAAGTGTGGTTAATTTGATGTGAAAAGTGAGGGTGAATTTGGTTTGAAAAGGGGTGAATTTGGTTTGAAAAAGGGTGAATTTGGTTTGAAAAAGGGTGAATTTAAAGTGAAAATGGTATATATGTTACCTTCATTGGCAACTTGTTGCCAACCACTACGCAATGAGTGGTTGCCTTGCTTCCAGAAGCTTCTTGGTTCTGTGCCCAGAAAGGCAGCTGGGTCATTTTTGAGGTACTATCAAAAATCGTATTTTTTACCAGAAGATGGCCGCTGTGGGATTAGTTTAGATGGCGATCGGAAAGAGCTAAGTCAGGGCTACACGAAGACTGTGGTGGAATTCCCCAGCTAAG